GTTTTCCAAAGTATTGGAACACGCATAACAATGTCTAGTTTTTGTGAGTGTGCATGAATTTCGCTGTCGCTAATACAACTAAGGAAGAAGAGGCCGAATGCACTGGCACTGGTGAGGACAATGGTGCTGAACGTGATGTTGATGAATGTGCGGCAGCTGTTGATGATGACGATTGGGAGGGAATCCCTTGAAAAATGCGATGTACAAGCTACAAGCCATTCTTTTGCTACACGAATAATTAATTCCGCACTGGTTGGAACGTCACAGTTGACGTGGCAACAACAAACGCATCCTAATGTCTTTCGCGCAAAATAACTCAATTTTACAAGATATTTTTCCTCAGGGTAACCTTCATTTTCAGTGAAAGGAACTAGAAACTACTCATTTATTCATGAGTAAATCAGTCGTTCTAGACGTTTTTGAAACTTTATGACCGATCAAGGTCAATGATTTGAAATCTCTCCTGAAAATGCAGATATTTGAAGCACTCCAACAACTCTCACCATTAGTGCATGGTGGACAAAAATGTTTCAACCGTATTCAAAGTAAACAGTAGTATTTTTTGACTTCTTGTTAAATTTGCTTGGTCCTGCTTTCATGGCAGTGTAGATGATTCAGTCACACGTGGATGGAAACCGATAATCCCCTGAAAATTTGTTATAATCATTAGAATATTGATCCCATGTCACCAGAGATATCAGGATGGGATAAGAAATAAAGTTGTCTACCAAGTACACAAAAACTTTGGAGCCATGACTGAAATTTTCTATTTTGTCCCACTGAAGATAAATTTCACTGAGATTTATTCCGGTCTGTAAAACTACACAAGAACTGCCACAATTGTTTTTTTTAAGTTTGTCTCGTTCGTGTGTGAACATCGTCCCATCGATCAATCAGAGAGTTGCGTATGCAGAGCAGTCTAGAAATTTGAAGATGTGCACAAATGACCCACTTGCAAAATGAGAAAAGAAAAACCTTAGTTTTTCAACTTCAAAGTCAAGAAGGAGACGATCTGTCTGATTTCGGAGTGCCGAAGCATTACGCGAGTCCGGTGGGGAGACTAGGTCAGTAATGCTGGGCTGCTCCAAGTTGTTATTTGCAAAGTTCATTATCCCTCATGCTCCACAATCCAAGCCTGTTTGAATGTGTACTTTCTACGCCGGCGGGACGTTTGGCTCTTAGAACCCTTGTGTTGGATGGCCAGGAAGCGGTCAGTCTGTAACTTGGTAAAGAAGTACGAAGGCTCTTTCGACTCAACTCACTCACGCTGGCAAATGCCGTGTCCGTTTGTATGGGGAACGCGGGACAAGGCAAACCAATGGTTATTGACCCTGGAAAGTATGGTCGTCTCAAGCAGCCAAAGGCAGGCTTCCAACTTTACTGCGTATCACTCATTCCCCAACACACAAGGCTTTGTTTCCAACGCATGTTTCTTGTCGTTTGTGAGCAAAACTGTGGTAGCGTGAACCGTTTACTCTCAATGCACAATCTGTAAGCTGAAACACTGAAATCAAATGAAGTATGGCTTACAAAGTTCATAGAGGGGCTGCAATATTTAAGTGTCAGTTATGGCAGTCACTATGAGTTCTCAGCTGCCTGCTTCGTTACCAGTTCAGGAGGTAATATTACCTATATCATTGAGTAGAACTCTCAGCAGATGAAGCTAGTTTACTTCAAGTTCGCCTTTTAAGTGCGTTTCATCGGTTGCCCAAACCGTTAGTCACGGATATCTAGCACCGCTACACTTTATGGCATAATAATGGTACTTGATGGTAGTAAAACTATTGAACTCCACTCCAAACGAACCTCTAGAATCCATATTACAGTCTTCATCTCGCTTGAGAACATTTGCGTGAGTTTGCCCCGGTCTTCTAGGCTATTGGGCTTTAGCATTCTGCATCCTGGTGTGGCCACATAAAGGAACAATGAAACATGATAATTTGTCGTGATGTTATTTTCAAGGTTAGCTGGAAATGAAGGTAACTCCAAGCTGAGTACTGCTACGATCCACTTTCATTTCGCTACACCCGCATTGTAGATTCCAAAGAATGAACCTAAGACCGAGCGAAAACAAGTCAGGTCAGCAGTAGTCCGGTAACCAATCAGAATAAAGTATCGACCCTGCTTGTGGAATTAGCTGTTAACCGCAACATTTGACTGGTAAATACGGGTCTGTCGAAGAAGACGCTTCTTCGGGGATGTATGCTTGTGAAAGCGAATCATTCATTGAAATGACACCAAATATCTTGGATTTTTCTGGTTTTCCTTTCTCCTGGAGCAGGGGCTTTAATCGTTAACAATCCAGAATCATGACGTTGTCCCTTGAACTACGACACATGCGGTACAGTGTTTTATAGACGTTGATGAGACGCTAATGTATTTCCATTTGTAGTTTCAATCCAATACGTACGAATGTTGTCTCTAAACAATTCGTTTTCTGACTTCCATGTTCTAACGTCAGAGTTGCGTAGAGATGAAAAGTTTACAAAAACATCGGCTATTCTCAGTAGAAAATCCATTACATCAGGTTTGACTCAAACGCTGGTACACTGTTTCAGTTTCCTGAAACTGTTCAAAATTGCGGAAAACCACTTTGCGAGCCGCACCTGTTTCACCGGCCTGCTTTGGAAAACTGCACTCACAACACCCGTGAGCGATGTTATTCTTCCATATGAATTCTTACATCCCTTCTTCTTTCCTTTGTTCTCCGAGTGGTGATTTACTCATCATAGTCTGCTGCTCTACCGAGGCATATCTGAACATACAGGCCGGATCGAACAAATTTCCATTGATCTCAGAAAAATACTCGAATTTTAAGTGTCCTAGACAAAGGTGATATTGGTCATGTGGCTTCTGAACATCTCGCTATCACAGACCTCTTCAAGGTGTAGTTCAGCGCCAGCAGTTACCACCTCAAACAACCTCACCTAGTTTCTACCCACTGAACCATCATTTACTCACTCTGGGCAAGAGCATTATCTGTGCAGAAAAACACCAGTGTACACATATGAACGCCAACTATCCTCTTGTATTGGACGCAACATCCTTCTGTTGGAATCCAGGCCATTTTGGAGGAAGGCCCGTGTTCTATAATAGAGTCGGTGTAGCGAAATCGGGATTCAGTAAAATTTCAGAAACTTCCCTTTTATCAATATTTTAGTTAGCGCTTTACCCGATGCTATTTCCCGAAACTCACCAACTTTTTGCCTCGTTCATTTTGCGGTTGTCTGCAGTCCACTGAAATTTGAAATTTTGTCTCCTCTGGAGAAGTCTGTAGTGCTGTTCTCCCTTACCTCTATATATCTCTTAAATTTTTACCCACCTTTCCACTTCTTCGAGTCTGTCAATTTTTCCTTGGTTTTCGAAATCGATCGCTCAACACCGCCGTAATTTTGTGCCTTGAAGACCTATTCTTGAACACATGGAGCCTTGACCTGGTTAAGTCGATGAAGTGGGTGTAAACACAGAACTACTGCTTAAAGTAATGATACTTTTTTTGCTGGAAGTATCTTGAGAGCACACGAAAACTTTTCTTATGTAAGTGTCTGCTTATGATAAAGGGAATTGATGGGAATCAGGTGGGTGGGAAAAACTTAGGCTTTCGTATATTTGAGCAGCTTATCGATTTATTAAGTGAAACCTAAAGTGTCTGTTTGAAGACGTTTTTTTTTGGAAAACCTGAGTTAATCCGTGATCAAGGAACGAATGAATTTCTCTCCTGCTCTTACCAGTCAGAACAATGCAACGTATCCGTATCTAGTAATTGAGACTTCCGTCTTATTTACGAGGTGCGGCCAACATAAATTTTTCTCAAGGTCACTAATTTGGTAAATATGCGCGCACCTGAGTTGATTAGCCGAAGGAATCAAAGATGATGCCTAGGATAATCATCACGCTACTTTCTTTTAAGGTTTTACAAAGTCCAGAATGAGGATAATTCATTTTATTGTTTGAAAGTGTACTGAAAAATTGAATTTTTAGAAACTTCTTTCAATGTTTACCCTTGCTGATACACATATACCATCTCGAGAATGTCAGTAACACGTGATCACGTGATGAGATTTTTGTGACTGAAGGGTGTGTGCTGATATATCCTGTCTAACTGAGAGCTAATCACACTGCTGATTAGCCACTCAGGGCTAAGCGTTTGATTGTTTTATCACTGGCCGGAAGGTCACGTGGAATGTGCACTAGTGATGATTCTCAACAAGAACGAAGCAATTATCTAGTTTTAAACAAACTAGACTTTATTGTTCCACGTAATACGACGTGGACAGTCACGTATTTGCTAAGAAGAACGTATCTACTGAGTTTACAGCCGGAAATATCAGAAACTGGAACAACGACACCTTCCGATGAGTGACTGATTGGTTGACCAAATGAGGTGACCGAGTATATACTACTCAAATCAGAAAGATTCGAGGCAAGCGCGGTCCAGAGAAGCTTGACGGAGATCTTGACGGGTGAATCAATTTTGTGACAACTAGTTACGCCAGAAAAAGTGAAAACAGTGGTTGTCACTGGGAGTCTATCGGAGCTTGACTTGTTGCACTTTCTAGGTTTGATTCACTTAGCATCAGCCGCGTTACGTTCCTCCAACGTGTGTTGCGGTAGTTTAACCTATCACAGTAGCGACGAGGTCGAGACAAGACGAACCACAGTGAGTATAACCTCCATTGTTTGATGTGATCCCCGGCTACCAAATCTTGGTCGGTAATAAGCGACGTTTCTTACGATTTTGTCGCAAAAAAACTGAAATTCGATCATTCGGCTATCCAAAACGGTCTTGTATATGAACAGACCTTCTCTCAGAGGTTTTTTTTGTGAGGCATATTTCATCTGTAAGCATTCTAGTCAAAAACTCTTTCTAGCACGCTCACAGCCACCTTCCTTCACTATCATCGGTCTTAACACTTTTATCTTAAAAATGAATAATTATACTGTGTATTGTTAAAAAAAACGTCTGTTGACGCGAAACATTCGTTCTATTCCGCCTTCAGGAACTAACATTCTTGAAACGGGTCACGCAACAGCAAGAAAAAGAAATTCAATCTCTCCTGAAGACCTTGTCAAAAATGAAAGAAAACCAGGTCAAGAATCTGGAAGAAAAGGGCATCAGACCTCTCAAGGGGCCCTGTTCAAAAGGAGGAAGTAAGTGTCTTGATAGTAAAAAATTGGTGGCCTTCCAGTCAGTTATGCAATTTGGAGCCAGGCCATCAGTTATTCCTACCGACATAAATGATTTTTTTTCACTTGAGAAACTCAATTAAATATCTGGTTATGTAAGATTGGTGTTTCCGCATGACTTCCCGCCTCAATGAGTTTCATCTGCAAATCAACGGACTTGGAACTGGTACCACAGAATCGATAATGGTCCTCTCAACTTTAGGTATTCAGCGGAGATTTTAGCCTTGGGATGCTGACTTATTCGCCCAAAAAATTCTGGTCATTTTTGTAACATGTGTTCACATATATGCGCTAGTGCTGACCGGTTCTACAAAACACTTGTTTTTTACTTACTATGCAACACGCAAATAACTAGGGCTTATGGTGATATGAATAAAATTGTTTATAACCACAAAAGGAATACTACTCACAAGTACTATATGATAGTTGGATTACAGTTAATGCATTACAAATGTACTCCCAACTAAGAGGGCAGAACTTTGAAAAGTAATGGCATGTAGCCAGGATTTTGCGGCAATTTTTTCTCGGCCACTTTCATGAGACGCGCAGTACCGCAACAAACCATTATCAGTCCAGACTCTGTTCAGTTGTTGAGGTATTGACTTTGACCGATTTCAAAAGCCTGGATGCCAGGACAACTGAGAGCAACGTACAATGATATTTTCCATATTTTCGAAGAAATCTGATGACATAACAAATAAAGTGACTCAAAAGATGGTTGAAAAGACTCGACGACTTGGGTTACTGTACCGCTACTGTGAAGGATGAAGGCAGTCCCATCGAAGTTGCTCCGTGGTGGGTCGGTTTAGGCACAAAGAGTCAACCAGAGCTCTTCTGCCGTGCGCAATTCGCCAGCATTGTTTTGATCAACTAGTGAAAACCTCGGACATGATAATGAAACTTTATAATAAAAATAAAGATAAAGAATCCCCCTCCAAGACGGCGGCCACACCCTTCTGCTCAAATGGGTCTTGAAGAGTCTCGAGTTGGCAGTACGCGTGGGGTAGTCATAAGCCACCTTCTCCGATTCTGAGACAAAGCATGACACAGGTTTAGCGAGTAGAACATCAACAAACAAGATGTTGATTAAAACCAGGACACTTTCAAACGCACTGTTTAGTGACGTTTACAAGCGATCGGCAAATGGCCCCCGTTTTCATAGAGTGTGGGGAACTAAGCGTGTTAGATGTATTGCTGAGTATCCCTGGATGTCGCTGGCAGAACTGACTTTCATGGACAGTGTTACTTGCAAAGTGATGTCTTGGAATTCAGACCGGTGATACTCCCAGTAGTGCACACCGTTTAGCTGGTAGCACAGTGTCTTCGTACCCAAGGCCTCCAGTCCAATCAGTGACACTGAAAACTTCTGCGTTGGCCACTTTTTTCTTTTGAGAGTCAACGCTTATTTTGTAAAATGGCATCCTTAGAAACTTTAGAATAATGACAACCAGAATCTGGAGAGCGCATTCGATTCATTTTGTTGTGCAGATATAGATGATGTAAACAACTGCAAAAGGTAGATAGATGGATGTATCTTGGACCTACGTACGCATCGCTAGCGATCAGTAGCCAAACCATTCTACCGGAATTCATTTTAAAAATGCAAGCCTTGTTCCAACCAAAATGTGTTTCGACAAACGACTTCATTTAGCGTCCTTAGTCCAACGTTTGTTCATTTCATATCAAGGGCTGTTGCAGTGGTAATTTATGTGGAAACGAAAGAAAAAATTGCTTTCACATAAATGCCATGTTGTTAGAAATTTCTCGATCATTAATTCCATGAGAAAGTGTGAATCAGTGTGTAGTTCTTGTTGCCTCAGTAACTTCCACCGTGTGGTTCCTTGTTGTTTTCAAATTCGCACCTATTGTCAGAACCCTTCACATTTCCGCATTATCTTCCAATCAAGTGAAATTCTGTATGCCAGGAATTCCATGCCACACCCGAACGTGACGTCACTTATCGATTTCGAACCTATGACGCCACTTTTATAGTCAGCCATGAAGCAGATGTGTATGACTGGTATTTTCAGAAGCTGGAAACAACCAGGCGGTTGCAAAGAGTGCCTAATATTGATGTTCCGAGGGATTAATTTTTCGCCGAGTGTAGACACCCATAATATATTCAATAGTGTTATACGGGTTTGTGGCGCTGAATAACATAGCAACGATCTCATAACTAGTCTCTTATCAAGTACCATTTAAAGGCCTGGTTTATCATTTATTCCGTTTACCGTTTATTCATGTCGAGCCTCCTCTTCACCGCATGCCATGTGATTCTAACGGGACATTTTAATCACCCGAGGCGGTGTGGTGACTGAATTCATACTTCATCTTGGTTTCCTGTGGGCAGTATTGTGTACCTCTCTGGAATTGACTTGCTTGCGCCCCACTTCCAATACACTGGGGGGTCACCGTTATAGGATGCAACGAATGTTGGATACACCTGACAACCCGCAGGTGGCTGGTGAAACCATTAAATTTGACACTTCATTGTGAAAAGTGCGGTGAATTTCGATGAATACTGTCATTTGTATAAGCAATTGGTTTTGCCAGGCTGAATACCTGGTTTCTACTGGTTCGCTTTAGGTAGATTTGCTGAGCCCGGCAGCCTCACGTTTCAGTTAGTTTCAGTTTCAAACATAACATACTACTCATAAGGTTGCCGAATTGAGTAGTCTGTTACGTCACAACAGCGTGATTGGCTCATCGCTGACATCAGACCTTTTGTCCCGCAACAGGTTCTAGTACTTTCATATGGAAGCGCTGAGACCGGCTGGCGATTTTCCGTCAAGCTTTTGCTACAACTACGCGACCTCATATCTTAAGAGGGGAACATCTCCTGCGACCGACCACTGGACTCACTCGGATAAAGTGGCCCATAAAGTGTTGCAATCCGCAAACGGATTAGTGAACTAGAACAAAATTCCGAATAAACGGAGGAAACAAAAAGTTGCGAACTTCCATTCGATTCTGACTAAGGTGGTAAAACAATTCCCATGTCGAATGGGGCAGAGCATTTTAAGGTTCATATTGGTATGTCTTCCAGTATACATAAAACAGTCCTTTAAGTAGACCTAATCCAAACTTACCTGTCAGATCTACCAGAAGAAGAAGAGGTGAAACGAAAACCAGCCAAAATATCAGGTGACCGATTTCTCTGCGATCATCTGATGCTCTCGGATAACGACCAAGCGACCTTAACGATCCAACCGTGTTCATATCCTGTGTAATCCAGTTGCAAAAGTAGTCAACCATGGTTGGTATCCGAGTCAACAGTTTTACAGTAGGCTAAACCCACCCACAAGTTCCGTCCGTATTCAAATGTATTCGACTTTTCAAATGTCATAAGCGTAACTAGTTTCCCATTCCATGTAAGTAGCCTTCGGAAACAGGTTGAGCTGAGATACGGTTATCTAGTACAAACCTGGTGAGGAACACTAGGCACATCCCGACAGAAAAGTGATGATTCTTTCTTGCCAGCAAAAATTTTCAATCTGGTCACTTGGCTCAATGAATCATCTAAGGCAGAGGTCGGGCGTTGTTTAGAGAAGGTGGATTCTTCAGGGTTTCTTAGCTTGTTTAAAATAAATAAAATTCATTCTTTCTAACCTGGTAGCACGCCAGAAGTAGCTAAAACAACAGTTTGTAGGCTGATGAGTAAATTGTTCGTCATTACTTTAGTAGAATGGCATCCAGTGTGCACTGTGCTCTACACTTTGTCTTCACGACAAAAACTGACAGTTAGGCCTGCCCAGCAGAGCTCACTTGGTTGTTTGACCTCTGTGAGTCACGCTACAACTAACCGCAATAACAGTCGATACCTGTCAGCAATTGGGTCAGTGGTGACAATCATACAAACCCATCAGAATTACCGCTTGGTGCATACGTTAGACACCAATCCATTGGGTTCGTTAGTTGGCTTATCTAACACTTAGTGGCAGTCGGTGTCCTGGAGAAGCCAAAAGGTTCCAGCCAGTGAACCTACACGATTTAACCTAACCACTTTACTTGTCGGGTTTCCGTTGTCGCGGATCTACTGGCTAGACAGTCAAGTGCCGGCGGAACAGCGCAAGCTTGAGCGTCGACTTCAGTACTTTGTTCGAGGGGCTCCAATACAAACGGGTGAGGTAGTACAGGGCCAGGAATCGCACTTCGCATCGTTTATTCATCGTTCGTCTTTATTCGTCATTGATAATGCGCGGTTTTTGCAGTTCATACTGCCAATTCACTCAGAATTTATGATGCACTCCGTGTTCTTAAGAGCTGGTTATGGGAATCGCACTTCGCATCGTTTATTCGTCGTTCGTTTTTATTCGTGATTGATAATGCGCGGTTCTTGCGGTTCATACTGCCAATTCACTCAGAATTTATGATGCACTCCGTGTTCTTCAGAGCTGGTTATCTGAAGTACCATAAACACTCTTCAGGTGGACCACTTCATGCAGAACGGGGTTCAGTGGATGCAATACGGTAAATATGGTAATACTTCTTGGACTCTCGCGCGCGGTAAAAGATAGAAAAAAGGACCAGTTAGCCGGTCTCGAAAACAGTCTTGGGGTCGGTGTTTCCGGAGAGTATACAAACCATACAAATCCGAACTTGCAGCGAACGGGACCTGCTTGACCACTGGTCATTACTAGCGGACCGCTGGCTTTTACTCCATTTTCATCACATGGCTACTCTTGACTTCCTAATCTCGATTGGTGGCTTGTCAGCCAAGTTCAGCAGCGGATTACGACAGATTTCTGCAGTCCGCCACTGTTTGTTCCTCTCGTATTTGCGTTTATATACCCTGCTGAGTACAGTTTATATCATTGACGTGATTGGCTAGTGAAAATTTCGGTTCTGTGTCTGTCTATTGACTACTCTCTCCGATTGGTTCGGTGAACAACATCTATTCCAGTAGATTTTAGTGCAAGTATTGATTGTCTTCTTCGGTATTTGCGATTCGGAGCTCGTTCGTT